ACCACACCCACACTCAACAACCCACCCCCCCAACACCCCACCACACCCTCCAAAAAACCCCACTAAACACACAACCCCACCAACAACCCCCCCCACCACAACACAAACCACCCCCACACCACCAACACAAACACAAATACTCCCAACCCCCACTCTCATCCCCACCACACAACACACACCCCACAACAAAAACCCAAAAAATAATTATTATCCCCTACCACTATCCCACCCACTCTCACACACCACCCCACTCCACATACCCCCCCCCCCCCTATCCACATACCCAACAACAACCAAATCCAAACTTACAACCCCCCACCCACACACCCCAAACCCCAAAAATCACAACCCCCCCCAATTTCCCCCAACACAAAACCATCCCAACAAATTCACAACACCACCACAACCCCCCCACCCCCCAACCCCTATTTACTACAATCCACAAAATACACACAACCTAACACCCCCCCCAACACCAAAAAAACACACACTCACCCAACCTACCACCCAACAAATCAACACCCCAACATCAACAATAACCACCACCACCCCCCCCACCACCCCACACACCCCAAAACCACCCCCAACCACACACCCACCACCAACCCAACAACACACAACAACAACACACCCCCAAACCACATCCCCCCCCAAAAACACCCCCAACCAAACAAAACTAACACAAACCCCAACACACCACTCCATCCCACCCCCAAAACCCCCCACACCCCCCCCCAACACCACCACCACACCACACCACAACCATCACACAATCATCCCCATCCCTCACCACCCTATCTAATTTTTTACCTTATTAACCTTTAACATCTCTATATAAAACCCCCCCAACTAAAATCCAATATTCCCCCATAAATCAAATTAAAACAATCCTTCTCCAACAACCATAAATTATTTACACCTATTCAATATTCCCCCAAACCCCCTCAAAAAACATTCCCCATCTCCCCTTACACAAAATCCAAACCCAACCTTCCCCTCAAATTCTATCCTCATCAATTAATAATCATTCCTTCAACCACCTATACTAACAATCCCCTACACTCTATAACATTTCACAATTCATCAAATCCACCCTAAACACCCAATAAATCTCATCCCTAAATTACTTTCATCCTTCTTTAAAATTAATCAAATCCTATTACATCACACCACAACACACCCCCCCACCCAACAACCCCACAACCCCAACATCCTAAAACCCAAATACCCAACACCAACCACAAAAAACACACAATAAAAAAACAAAACACAACCCCCCCCCACCCCCCACCCCCCCCAACACCAAACCCACCACCCCCACCCAACCAACAACCACCCAACCCCCCCCACAAAACCCCCCCCACCCCCCCCCAACACACCACACACCAACCACAAACACACCCCAAACACCCAAACCCCACACAAACACAACCAACCAACCAACCCCCACAAACCACCCCAACCCCAACCACAAAACCACCACCCTCACCACACACCACCCCCCCAAATACCACCTACACCACCACAATACACCCCCCCCAAAAAAACCAACTACATACCACCATACCCCCCCCCCCCCCCCCCCCCAACAACCAACCCCTCACCAAACATCAACCCCTACCCCCCCCCTACCACCCTCCCCCCCCCAAACCCAACCAACAACCACACTAATCACAATTCACCCAATACTCACATAACAAAAAAAACTACATTCATCCCAAATTTATCCCCCAAATTACCTACAACCCAACCACAAAAACACCCAAACCCCAAACACACCACTAAACCCCTAACATCAAATACCCAAAAAAACCCACAACCATCCCCCAAACCCACCCCCCTCCCACCAAAACAACCCATTCAAACCCAAAACCCAAACCAAAAACACCCCCACCACATCCACCCACACAACACAAACAACACAAACCCCCCTAAACCCCCCCACCCACTCCCCACAACCCCCCCCCAAAACCACACCCCCCCCCACAACAACCACCAAACTCTCAATACCAACCAACCCAAATTCTCCCCCCCCCCACCATCCTCCCACAACATCCAAAAATACTCAACCCCCCCAAACCCCCCCCCCCCCCAACCAACAACTCAATAACAATCTAATCCCAATCCCCCCCCACCCCCAAAACACACAAACATAAATTCCTATCCCATATACTCCAACCCTATTTCTCAACCCCAACTCCTTCAATACCAACAACACAACACACCTTTAATATAATATCCATTTCTCCTCCCATCCTCCCTCCCACCCATAACAACCTAATCCTACCATACACAACATTCAATACCACACCCCACAAAACCAATAAAACAATCCAAAACACTCCCCATCAACCACAAACCCTTATAACCAACCCTAACACACCCCAACCACCCACCAAACCCCACACCCACACACACCCCACACAACCCACCCCCACCCACAACCCACCAACCCCAACCACCACACCCACCCCACACCCCACCCCCCACCCCCCCACCCAACCACCCCAACCCAAACCCCCCCACACACCCACCCCCAAACACCCCCCCCCCCCCCCCCTCCCCCCAAAAACCCCAACCAAACCACCCCAACCCCCCCCCAAACCCCCCCCACAAACCCCCCCCCAAAACCAACCCCCACCCCCCACACCCCCACCACTCCCACCAACACCCCCCCCACAACCCCACCCAACCCCCAACCAACACCCCACAACCCACAACAACACCCAAAACCCACCCCCCCCCCAACCACAAACCACCCCCACCCCCCCCCCCCACCCACAACCCCCACCCCAAACCCAAAAAACAACCCAACACCAAAACAACCCCCCAACAACCCCACCCCCCACACACCCCCCACACCACCACCCCACCCCCCCCACAACCCACCCAACCCCACACCCCCCCACCAACCCCCCCCCACCCCCCACCCCAACACCCCAAACACCCACCCCCCACCCCCACCCCACCACCCCCCACCACCCCCCCCCACCCCCCCCACCCCCCCCACCACAAACCACCCAACAACACACCCCCCCAACCCACCACCAAACCACCACCAAACCACCACAAACCACACCAACCCCACCCACAAAACCCCACCACCAACCCACCACAACCAACCAAACCCACCACAAAACCCACCACCAAACCCACCACCAACCACCACCCAACCCACACAAACACACCACCAAAACCCCCACACCAAACCCACCAACAACCCCACCACAAACCCACCAACAAACCACCACCAAACCACCACAAACCCCACACAAAACACCAACCACACACCCCCCCCCACCCATACCACACACCCCCCACCACACCCCCACCACCCCAACACCACACCACACCACCACAAACCCCCCCCACCCCCCACCCAACCACACACACCACCCAACAACAACACACAAAAAAAACCCCCACCAACCAAAATCCCACCACACTCACCAACCCAAAACCACCACAACACAACCAACCAAACCAAAAACCACCACACACACCATACCACAACCCCACCCACAAACCACACAACCCCCCAAAACCCACAACCCCCCAACCCCCAAAAACAACCCACACAACCCAACCACCCCAAACAACATCCCCCACCCCACCCCAAACCCCTACACCCACAAACCCCAACCACCCAAACAAAAAAACCCCCCAACCCCCCACCCCCAAATAACACAACAAAACCAACAAAACCCCAAACCCCCCAAACCCCCTAACACCATAACCACCACCCAAACAACCCAAAAACCCACACCACCAACCCCAACCACCCACCAAACAACCCTCATCACACCAACACCCAACAACCCCACAAACACAAAACACACAAATACCAAAACCCCCAACACCCCACCCACCCATACCCCTACACCCAACACCCCTCCCCCCACCCCCCCCCCCCAAAACCCAACAAAAAACCTCACAAATAAAACCCCAACCACCCCAATCACAACAACCCCCCCCAACCCACAATCACCCACCCCACACACACACCACAAAATCACCAACAAATTAAAACCAACAACAACAACAAATAATCCACAACCCAAACATCCAACCACAACCAACCCCCCATACCACCCCCCCCACCAACCAACCCCAACCCAAAACACACAACCCAACAAAAAAAAACCCCACACCACCCCCCCACCCCCACTCAACAAAACCAAACACCACCCCACTCCCCCCACAAAAAAAACCCCAACCACCACACCCCCAAAACCCAACCACAAAAACCCCCCCCCCCCCCCCCCAAACAAACCCACCAACCACCCCCACACCACCCCACAAACCCCCCCACCCCCAAACACACCCCCCACCCCCCCAACCCCACCAACACCCCCACCCACAAACCCACCCCACCCCCCAAAACACCCAAACAACCACCCCCCACCACCAAAACCCCCACCCCCCCCACCCCCACCCCCCCCCACCCCACCCCCCCCCCCACCCCACCACACCCAACACACCCACCCACCCACCCCCACCCCACAAACAACAACCCAATCACAACCACCACAACAACCAAAACAAAACAAACACACACCAAAACCCCCACACCCACCACACCCAACCCACCAACCCACACACCCCAAAAACCCTATCTAACAACCCCCCCAACCCACACCCCCCAAAAATACCCACACAACAACACAAACCACCCACCAAACCACACCAAAACAACATCACCCAAACACTAAACAACACATCCAAACCCCAAAACACAAACACAACCCACCACCCCTCCCATACCCCCCCCCACCCAAATAACCAAAACCCCCCCACCCCAACCCCCCCACCCCACACCCACCAAACCCACAACACAAAACAACCCCCCACAACCAACCAACAACAACCACCCCCAACACCTTAATACCACACAATAACACCAACCACCAACACAACAACATCCAAACACAACCCAACTACCACCCACCCCACCCACCACCCCACACACCATACACCCACACCAACAACACCCACAAACATCAACAAATCACAAACAATCCACCCAACCCAACCCAAACCAAACACCACCCACCACAAACAAAAAAATAAACCCCCCCAACAAAAACAACCACAAACCAACACACAACACCCCACCCCCCACAACACCCCCACAACCCCCCCCACCCCCCCCAATCCACCCCCCACACCCTACAACCCCAACCAATTACCCAAAACCAACTCCTCCAACCCCACCCCAACACCAAAAAACCAACAACCCCCCCCACCCACCCCCCAACCCCACACCCCCACACCCACCCCCACCCACACCAACCCCCCCAAACCCTCCCCCCCACACCCCCCCCCAAACAAACCAAAACCAACCACAAAACACAACAACACTCACCCAACAAACAAACCACATACACACCACCCACACCCACACCCCCCACATCACCACAACAAACCCCCCCCCACCACCCCAACACACAAAACAACCCACCACCCCCAACCCCACAACCCAAACACAAACAAACCAACCAACAAACACCCCACACAACACCACCCCCCACCACAACCACACCCACCCCAACCCCCCCCACCCCACCACAACAACAACACAACACACCCCAACACACACACAACCTACCACAAAAAAACCCAACAACACCCCCCCCACCACCCAAAAACCCCCCCCCCCACATCACACCACCCAACCAACCACCCACACACCCCCCAAACCAAAACACCACACACCCACCCCACCACCCAAAACCCAAACACCCTCAACAAAAAAACAACACACCCACACCCACAAACCCAACCCACAACCCCACAAACACCCACACCACAACCCCCAACTACCAAACACCACCCAAACCCCCCCCCAAACACCACCCCACACAACCCCCCAACACCAATAAACCCAACACAACCACCCCCCCCACACAAACCAACACAAACACCACAACCACCCAAAACCCCCATCCTCCACAAAACCACCATCCAACCAATCAAACCCCACACCCCATCACAAACACCCCAACCACACAACCCCCCCAAACCCCACTAAATCCTCAAATCCAACAACTCCATACAAACCAACAAACATCTATTCTACTCCCCCCTCATAATAACACCACCCCCCCACCCAACAAAAACCACCCCCCAAAACCACCACACTACCACACCAAAACAAACACAACACCACCCCCCCCCCCACCCACCCCACCCAACCCAACACCCCCCCCCACCCACACCCACACAACCCAACCCCACCCCCCCCCCCAAATATCCATCCCCCTCACCAATCCACCCACCATCACACAAAACCCAACAAAACCCCACTCCAAAAAACAACAAACAATACACCCACAATCCCCCCCACTACACACCCCACACCCCAAAATTCTACCTTACCAAATCTCACAACAACCCACAAACATAAAAAAACACCTTTCAATACAAAAAAAAACCATATACCATTTACTACTCTACCCACCCCCTTTAACCACCCCACCAACCCAATTCTCCACCCCCAACCAACAATCCCATTCCTATTCAATAAAATAACCTATACCTTATTTTTCAACCTTTATAATTAATCCCCCACCCATTTCTATACACAATACCACAAAAAAACACAAACTCCCCTAACTCTCCCCCCATTACCATCCAATTTATTCCTTAATATTCTCCTCCATCCCCCAAACACCTCATTCCCATCATTTCCTAACATTTCATTCTTCTTATTATTATATCACCATCACCACTCAATCCCCACCACCCAAACCAAATCAACACCCCAAACCAACCCCACCCCAACCACCCATACCCCCCCCACACCCCACCCCAACAACCCCACAAATACCAATACCCCCAATCATCAATACCAACCCAACCAACTACCCCCCTAACATAACAACATTACAATCATATACCCTATATCCTTTCACACCCCCCTAAACAAATATCATATCTATCATATATATATATATATCATATATATATTAATACTTATAATATATAAACTAATACTAACACTAACACAACAAACACACACCACTAAACACACCAACCCACACACCCCCCACACCCCCCCCACAACCCCCCCCAACCCCCCACAAACCCCACCCCCCACCACCCACTCCCCCCACCCAAACAACCCCCAACACCACACCACCCCACACAAACCACCCACCCCACACACCACCCCCTCCACCTCCCCCCCCCCCAACCCCCCAACCAACCACCCAACCCCACCCACACCCACCCCACCCAAACCCCCACCAACCAAAACCCCCCAACACCCCAACCCAAACCCAAAAACAAACAAATCCCCTAACAACCCCTACCCCCCCCCCCCACCAAAACCCACACTACCCACACACCCCCCCCACCATCCACAACCACAAACAACAACACCCAACCAAACCACACAACCACACACACACACCAACCACACACACCATCACACAACAACAACACCACAACACACACACACACCCACACACACCTCACAACCACACACACCCACACACACCAACACACACCCACACACCACACACTCCACAAAACACCAACAACACCACACACACACACACACAACCTCAAACCACACACAACCACACACACACAACAACAAACCACACCAAACACAACCACACATACCACACCCACACACACACACCCAACAAACACACACACACCACACACTCACCACAACACCACACACACACCACACACACACACACTTCCAAACACACCCATACCCAATCACACACACACACACACACTACCACACACCCTCACACTCTCCACACCCCAAAAACAAAAAAAACCCACCCTACCCCCAACAACAAACCAAACAAACTCAACCAACACACAACACCACCCAACACAACAACCCAACTACTAATAAACCTCCCTCCATTACCCCCAAACACCCAACCCAACACAACCTAAAACCCCCAAACCCACCCCACCACCCACCCCACCCCCCCCCACAACACACACCCCACCCCACCAAACCCCCTCCACACCACCCCCACCCCCCCAAACCAACCCACCCCCCCCCCAACACTAACAACTATACCCACAAAAATCACAATCCTCTTAAACACCAACAACTTATCCACCTACCATAACATAAAACACCTAACACTAATACCACACTACCCCATCAAAACCACAACCAATCCACACACCAACCACAAAACCACTACCAAACCACCACCCAACAACTACACCACACTACTAACAACACCACCCACCACAAATCCACCAACAACTAAAACACCAACCCAAAAAACACAACCACACCACCACCCAACAAAACAAACAACAACACAACACAACAACAACAACCACTTTCTACAACACCACCCAACCACAACAACACCAACCACACAAACTCAAACATAACCCACAACACAACCACCAACCAAACAACACAACCCCCCCATCCACCCACACACCACAACCACCCCCCCAACCACCCCCCAACCACACCCCCCCCCCACCCAACATCCCATCACCCCCCCACACACCCCAACAACCCAACAACACCCCAACCAACCCCCACCCCCACCCCCCACCCCCCAACCCCCCCCAACCCCCCCCCCCCACCACCCCCCCCAACCACACCCAAATAACAAACACACACCCCCCACCAAAACACAAAAACCACACCCCAAAACATAAACAACCACAAACACCCCACCCACCACACACACCACCCCCCACAAACCCCACCACCAAACCCACACACCAAAACACCCACCACAAACCCAACCAACCCCCCAAACAAAAACAAACCACAACCAAACCCCCCACCCAACAAAAAAAAAACACAACCCCCCCAACACACAAAAAAACCCAAACCCCAACCAAACACACCCCCCACACCCACACACTAAACACCCAAAACACAACACCCCCACCCACCCACACACACCCCCCCCCCCCCCCCAACCCCCCCCAACACCACAAACACCCACCCCCCACCCCCCACCCCAACAACCCCCCAACCCCACAAACACAACCCCCCACCCCCCCCCCACCCCCCCCCAACCACACACCCAACCACCCACACCAACTACCCCACCCCCCCCCCCCCCCCCCCCCCCCACACCCAACCACCCCCACACCCCCACCCCACACCACAAACCCCACACACTCCCCCCCCCCACACACCCCCCCCACCCACCAACCCCCCCACAAACAAAATAACAAACCCCCACCCCACACAAACCACACCAACCACCCACCACCCACCCACCCACCCACAACAACCACCCAACCACCCCCACACCCCAACCCCCCACCCCCCCCCCCCCCACACCCAACCCCCCCACAAACCCAACACAACCCACCCCCCACCAACACCCCCCCCCCCCCCCCCCCCCCCACCCCACAAAAAACACCCCCCACCAACCCCCCCCCACAACCCCAAACCACACAAACCCCACCACACCCACAACCCCCCACCACACCCACCCAACAACCACAAAACCCCCACCACCCCCCACCACCACACACACCACCAAACCCACCACCCAACACAACCCCACCACCCAACCCAAACAACAACCCCACAACTAACACCACCCCCAAAAACCCCAAACCCCACCACACCCCCCCCCAAACCAAACCTACACACCAAAACCAACAACCCACCACCCCCAAAACCCCCCCCCCCCCCAACACACCACCACACAACCTCTTACACACCACCAACCCAAACCCCCACACAACAAACCAAAACAAACAAAACAAACACCACACCCCCCCCACCCCACCAACAACCACCCACCCCAACACCCCACCACACCCCCCCACAAAACACACCCAAAAAACAAACCCCCCCCACCCAACAATCCCCCCCCCAACACCCAACACCCCCACCCCCACCAAACTCCCCACAACAAACAACACCACCACCCAACACACCACACAACTACCAAAACACCCCAACACCTACACCATATAACTACAGATCCCCACCAATCACCAAAACCACACCATCCCTACCACATATCTACCATTGTCCCAAACATACACACATCAAATATAAACCCCACCAACCCCCCCCCACCACAACATACCACCCCCCAAATATCTACACCCTATCCACACCCCTACCCCAACCACCCCTACACCCCCAACAACAACCTACCACAACACCCACCCCACCCCCCAAACCCCACCCAAACCAAACCACAACCCCCACCCCAACCACAACCACCACCCCCACACCACCCACCCACCCCCACACAACACCCCACCAAACCCCCACCCCACCCAACACCAACCACACACACAACTCACACACCCCAATCACCCACTCCCCCCCCCCACAACAAACAACACACCACAACCCACACACTCACCCACACCAACCACACAACCACCACCCACCCCCATCCCCCCCCACAACCCCCCACCCACCCACCAAAACAACCCCCCCACAACTCCAAAACCAACCACACCCCCCACCACCCAACCCCACACCCAACCATCCAACCACCCCACCCCCACCCCACACCACCCTAACCCACACAAACACAAACCCCAACACCCACACACCACCACACACCCCACACAACCCACCCAACAAAAAAAAACAAACACCAATCAATCAACCACCCCACACCACACCACACAACCACACCAACCCCCAACAAACCCCCCACACCCCCCAACCCCCCCACCAACCCCCCCACCCCAACCACAACAAAACACCCACCCCAACCCCAAACCCCACCCACACCCCCCACACAACACCCCAAAACAAACCCCCCCAAAACCCCCCCACCCCACCACAACCCCAAAACCACACCCCAACCCCCACCCCACAAACCAACCAAACCACCCACCCCAAAACACCCACCCAACCCACCACACCACCCCCCCACCCCCCCCACACCCCCCCCCCCCCCACCCCCCCCACCAAATCCAAAACAAAACAACCACCCCCCCCCCCCCACCCACCCAAACACACACCAACAAACCCAACCCAAAAACCCCACCACAACCCCTCCCCACCCCAACACCCCCACACCTAACAACACATAACCAAAAACAACACCACACCACCCCAAACACCAAACCACCCCCAACAAACAAAACACAAACACCACACACCCCACCCACAAACAAAAACCCACCAACCCACACCACACAACCCAACACCCAAACCACACACAACCCAACTCACACAACACCCCAAACCACCTCCACCAAACACAACCCACACCAACCCACACAACCCCCAACACAACTCCACCACACCCAACACCCACAACCCACCCCCCCAAAACCCCCCCAACCACAACCCCCCCAACACCACACCCCCCAACACCCCCCCCCCCCACCCCCCACCCAACCCACACCACCCCCCCCCCAACACACCAACCAACCCCCCCAAAACCCCCCCCCAAACCCCAACACACCCCCCCCCCCCCCCCAAAAACTACCCCCCACCCCACAACCCCCCACCACACCACAAACCCCCCCCCACAACCCCACCCCAACCCCCCCCACAACCACCCACCACCACAACCAACAACCAAACCACCCCCCCCAACCAACAACCCAACCACCCCAACACCAAACCCCCCCCAACCCAAAAAACAAATCAACCCCAACAACAACACAACCCCCCCACACACACACAACCCCCACACCCCCCCCCACCACACCCCACCACCCACCAACACACACCCAACCCCCACACCCCCCCACCACCCACCCACCCCCCCCAACCACCCCAAAACAAACCCCACCCCACCCCCACCCCAACACCCCACACCCCCCCCCCCCCCCCACCCACCCCCCACACCAAACCCCACAACACAAACACACCAACCCCACCCACCAAACCCCCTCACCACCAAAAACCAACACCAAACCCCACACAAACCCCACCACAAACCACCACCAACCCCACCCACAAACCCCACCACCAAACCCACACACCAAAACCCACACCAAACAACCACAACCCCAACACCAAACCCACCCCCCAACAAAACCCACCACAAAACAAACCAACAAACACACCAAAATTACCCCTACTTCAAACACCTAAACAAAACCCACCAATAAACACCACCCCCAACAAAACCCACCCACACAAACTCCAACCAACACAAACACCCCACACCCCTACCAACCCACCCAAACTCCCACACCCCCCCACCCCACCCCACACCAAACCCACCCCACAAAACCCCCCCCCACTCCAACCAAAACACCCCTCCAACCACAATCATCACCCCAAAACACACCCACACACCAAACAATGCTAATGCAGACCTTATATAGACAATGCTAACGCAGACTGTATATAGACAATGCTAACACAGACTGTATATAGACAATGCTAACGTAGACTGTATATAGACAATGCTAACACAGACTGTATATAGACAATGCTAACGCAGATTGTATACAGACAAAGCTAACACAGACTGTATACAGACGATGTTTAGGGCGGCCCCTAGGGGCCCAGGTCAGAGATGACACATATGAGAACTTTGTCGTGGTTCTCGGGGCATGAAGTGTGAGCAGCGGCTCTAGTGACGGCCTCTGTAATCTGCGTGATGATAATGTTACTTTCTCTGTGTATTTCCTATCTATCTCTGCGGAGGGCTGTGCGTGTGTGTTTGCGTGTGTGTGTGCGCGTGTGTATTGTCGTGTGTGTGTGTGCGCGTGTGTGTGTGTATCTCCTATCACACACATGTATCATTGCTTCCTGCAGGAGCTTTCACCCACTCAGATTGTGTATCACTGCAGAGGCGTGTGTGTGTGCGTGTCTCTGTGGAGGCACGTGTGTGTCTGTGTGTGTCTCTGCAGAGGCCTGTGTGTGTCTCTGCGGAGGCCTGTGTGTGTCGGTGGAGGCGGGGGCATCACCAAATATCACACTTTAGTCTAAACACTCGTCTCGTTTATTTTTTATACAAATAAAAGTGCGACAGAGACGGAGGCTGTAGCCACAGCACTCACCAACAACACGATAGACAAACAGCAGATAGGACATCCTTCTCTCACTGACACACGGGCCCCTGGCCCCTGGCCTCTGGCCCCTGGACTCAGCCATGGAGACATGTGTGAAGAGAATAGTTCTTTCTTCAACTGTTTAAAATAGAACCTGAATCTTACGTCATCTGTAATTTCATTAATTGTAAATAGTTGTAGATTAGGACAAGTGACAGAGACGAGCGACAGATCAGTGTACCCTGTCGTGTCCTCACAGTGACATGTTTAAACACACATCAGTGTGTTGTATCCTCACAGTGACATGTTTAAACACACATCACTGTGTTGTGTCCTCACAGTGACATGTTTAAACACACATCAGTGTGTCGTGTCCTCACAGTGACATGTTTAAACACACATCAGTGTGTCGTATCCTCACAGTGACATGTTTAAACACACATCAGTGTATCGTGTCCTCACAGCAACATGTTTAAACACACGTCAGTGTGTCATGTCCTCACAGTGACATGTTTAAACACACATCAGTGTGTTGTGTCCTCACAGAGACATGTTTAAACACACATCAGTGTGTCGTGTCCTCACAGTGACATGTTTAAACACACAGTGTGTCGTGTCCTCACAGTGACATGTTTCAACACACATCAGTGTGTCGTGTCCTCACAGTGACATGTTTAAACACACATCAGTGTGTCGTGTCCTCACAGTGATATGTTTAAACACACAGTGTGTCGTGTCCTCACAGTGACATGTTTAAACACACATCAGTGTGTCGTGTCCTCACAGCGACATGTTTAAACACACATCAGTGTGTCGTGTCCTCACAGCAACATGTTTAAACATACATCAGTGTGTCGTGTCCTCACAGCAACATGTTTAAACACACATCAGTGTGTCGTGTCCTCACAGCGACATGTTTAAGCACACATCAGTGTGTCGTGTCCTCACAGCAACATGTTTAAACACACATCAGTGTGTCGTGTCCTCACAGTGACATGTTTAAACACAAATCAGTGTGTTGTGTCCTCACAGAGACATGTTTAAACACACATCAGTGTGTCGTGTCCTTACAGCGACATGTTTAAACACACTTCAGTGTGTCGTGTCCTCACAGTGACATGTTTAAACACACAGTGTGTCGTGTCCTTACAGAGACATGTTTAAACACACATCAGTGTGTCATGTCCTCACAGTGACATGTTTAAACACACATTGGTGTGTTGTGTCCTCACAGTGACATGTTTAAACACACATCAGTGTGTCGTGTCCTCACAGTGACATGTTTAAACACACAGTGTGTCGTGTCCTTACAGAGACATGTTTAAACACACATCAGTGTGTCATGTCCTCACAGTGACATGTTTAAACACACATTGGTGTGTTGTGTCCTCACAGTGACATGTTTAAACACACATCAGTGTGTCGTGTCCTCACAGTGACATGTTTAAACACACATCAGTGTGTCGTGTCCTCACATTGACATGTTTAAACACACATCAGTGTGTCATGTCCTCACAGTGACATGTTTAAACACACATCGGTGTGTCGTGTCCTCACAGTGACATGTTTAAACAGGGTCTCTGCTTCGCAGCCACTGGCAGTCTAGTTAGAGGAGGGACCCGGTTGGGGCCCTGTCATGAAGCCACCTGTGTCATTCCCTTAGTGATAACACAAAGAATACATTACAGAAAAACATCTGGAGTTAATCAGTCTAATCTGGAAAATCTAATTCTTGTTCCGTATAAGAATCAGCCGACCACAACCGCTGATCCTGAAACTTTGAAACTTGCTACGCTTAATGTCAGATCTCTTTGTAACAAGTCTTTTTTAATCAAAAATTTTAATCGAAAAAAAACAAAATCACCAACTCCTCACTATCACCATGTAAAAACACCCCTATTTGGCACAACCCTGACTTCCAACTACACAACTCCCCCATTCACTTCCCACTCTGGCAGCAAAAGGGCATCTCTCACCTTCACCACCTGTTTGAAAACAATACATTCATGTCATTCACCACAGTTATCCAGAGGTACGGGGTTGGGAGAGAGCAATTTCTTCAATACCTACAACTCAAGAATTTAATCAAATGTAAAACCAGTCTAACACAAAACATGTTACACCCATCTACTCTGACTAATAACATTCTAAACATAAACAACACAAAAAGATTAATCTCAAAACTCCACAAAATAATAGTAACAATTCACAATCCACTAACACTGCCTTCTGTCAAATGGGAAAAGGACCTGGACATCTCTCCCAACCCCGACTTCTGGAACCGCATTTGTAGAAACGCATTTATAACAACATACGATAATTTGCAACTCATACAATATAGAACAATCCATAGAACACACCTCACACAAAGCCGTTTAAAAAAAATGGGATTTATAGATACCGACATATGCCCACAATGCACTTCAGGGAGCACAGATACATACCTGCATGCCACTTGGGACTGTCAACCGGTACACACCTTCTGGATTTCCGTCACGGACAAACTCTCCACCATCTTGGGCTGCAGAATCCCATTAAACCCCGCTCTGTGTCTTCTAGGAGACACTACTCAAACAAACCTCATAAGCAAACACCATGACTCCCTACTCATCTCTCTAACCATCGCAAAGAAAATAATATTCCATCCATCCATCCATCCATTTTCTTCCCCTTAATCCATTTCTGGGTCGGGGGGGCGGCAGTCAGAGCTGCACCCAGTACACATAGCACCAGCCGCTCACTGATCCTCCTGCAGGAGCTGAGTCCACAGGAGCTGAGATCTTTCAGTTGGGGCTTTGGGCAAAGTAGGGTTAAGTGTCTTGCCCTAGGACACAACGACAGCAGTCATCAGTGGGAGTCGTGAAGTAGGTCTTACGGTGGGCTCGAACCCACGACCTTCAGGCCCAAAGGCCAATGCTCTACCAACTGAGCTACTGTCGCCCTTGGAATAATATTCCAAAATTGGAAAAATAAAAAACTATGTAGCATCACTCATTGGACAAACCTACTCATCGACCACATCTCAACAGAAAAAAATACATCCCACAGAGGGGGGCATATATCGGCCTTCAATGAAACATGGGCATCATTCATCGCACATTTTCAGTTATAATTATTAACAAAGCCACTCTCCATCACTATCCAAAAATAATAATACTTATACATTTTAATTCTCTATCATGTGTTGCTTATATCTCACACTCATTTCATTTTTTTTTTTTTTTTTTTTTCTTCTCTCTTTCTTCTCCCTCTCTCCCTTATTTTCTATCTATCCGTTTAAACCCATCTTGACTGTCATTACCGCCAACACCAGTTATCAACTTATTTCACCTTAGCCCCGATCCCAGCCACCGCCACCCTTTGTGTTTTTAATGCACCACACACTAAGAAATTGAAACTTAATAAGGGGAAAATAAATATACATATACACACAACGCAAGAGACTCAGGACACATGAGGAGAACGTGAAGCAGTACACCTGCTTCAACAATCCAATCATGTCCTTTTTAATGCATCTTAGACACACACACACACACACACAATCCTTAAAGACAGCAGATTAACAGGCAAAGAAAGTGGAGGCTGGAGTATCTCCTAACTCATAAAACATCAATTTAAATTGTAATAAATAATGTTGGTGTTGATGATCTTTTTAATTGACTTTATGTTTATCTTTTTATTTTATTTTTATTTTATTTTATTTTCCTAGCACGCACGCTTGCACACACACATGCTCACACACACACATGCTCACACACACATCTCCCTCCCTCCCTATATGGTATTGTTTCACGTTCTCTCGATACTCGTTTTTCTTTATATGTCCCCATGTTTTGTCGCTGCCTCAATGTTTTTTACACGCACATGCACGCACACACATATCTCCCTCCCTCCCCATATGGTATTGTTTCATATTCTCTCAATATCTGTGCTTCTTTGTATGTCCCCATGTTTTGTCGCTGCTTCAATGTCTCACACACACACACACACACACGCACACACACACACACAATTATGTAATGTTTTATGTTGTCTCAATATTTGTATCTCTTTGTATGTCCCCATGTTTTGCCGTCGTACCAATCCTTTTTCACTTTTGTATGTCTATGTGTCACTCTTGTATGTCTATGTATCACTTTTATGTATGTCTATGTATCACTTTTATGTATGTCTATGTATCACTTTTATGTATGTCTATGTATCACGTAAAATAAAAGGAAAAAAAAACAAAAAAAAAAGTCTTTTTTAATCCATAATTTTATTTGTTCTCATAATC